CCACACACACACACACACGTGTCTCCTGTCATCTCTGCCTCTCACTTATACACAGCATCTGTTCGGATTGTCAGGGCATCTGACTCTGCCGATGTCCTCACATCTGATAGTCGAGCAGACTTCAACAGACTCATCAGAACCATCGTCACAATCGGAAGACCCATCACAGAGGAAATTGCGGGCATAGATGCACTTGCTCGCATCCTTGCACTTCCAGTAGCCCTGAGCACATTCCCAAGTCTTACAAACTTCTGCACCCTCATCAGTGCCATCTTCGCAGTTCGCACTTCCATCACACACACTTTCAACATCGATGCACTTGCTCCCATCCTTGCACTTCCAGTAGCCCCGAGCACATTCCCAAGTCTTACAAACTTCCGCACCCTCATCAGTCCCATCTTTGCAGTCCTCAATTCCACGACACACACTTTCAACATCGATGCACTGCGGAGTCTTTGTACACTTCCACTGACCCGCAGGGCAGTTGTACGTCTGGCAGAAGGTGGCACTCTCGTCACTACCATCTGCACAGTCAACAACTCCATTACACAGTGCTCCACTGATACACTTCTTGTCATTCGTTGGGCACTTGAAGTGGGAAAAGACTATTCCTTCAAGCGATGTGCAGTTGTAAGACTGGCAGAAACTAGCCTCCTCATCTGAACCGTCCTTGCAATGGTTCTCCCCATCGCACACCAACTCAGTTCTGATGCATTGAATGTCGTTCTTGCAGCGCCACGTTTCACCCGGGCACGTGTAGTTCTTGCAGAAGCTGGGGTCCTCATCAGTGCCATCTCTACAGTCATATATGCCATCGCAGTAAACACCTGGCCTGCATTTCCGGGGAGATTTGCACAGCACTTGTTCAGCATTGCACCCGGTAATGCTTGCACAAGCAGCGCGTGTCTCATCACTGGCATCCAGGCAGTCTCGTTTTCCATCACAAAGCTCTCTCGAGTCCATGCATCCCACCCCGCTCGGACACTTCACCCTTCCAGTGCTACTGCAGTCAAAAGTCTTGCACAAGCTCGATTTCTCATCAGACCTGTCTCGACAATCATAACGGCCGTTGCACTGATCGAATGGGTTTATGCAGCTGCTGCCGTCCTTGCATCGGATTTCATGCTCGTAGGCGCATGGGAGCTTCCCGCAGTTGGAGATTTCCTCATCCGAGCCATCTGCACAGTCCTTCCTGCCATTGCAAAAATAGGATCTGGAAAGACACGAGAACGACAATGGTCCCGTTGGGCACTGGTACTGGTCGTTGCTGGCATTGCATGCCTTCTCATACAGGCAGCCAGCAAATTCGGAAGTTTCATCGGAGCCGTCAGGGCAATCCTGCCTCCCATCGCAGAACTTCGTTCTGGCAACACAGGTCTTATTGTCAGCACAGAGCCGCTGCTTCAAGTCTCCACAGCCACATTTTTGGAGGCTTTCGTCAGATCCATCCGAGCAGTCGCGCTTGCCGTCGCAGAATAGGTCTGCAGCACGGCAAATCCGACCGTCCTTGCACTTCCTGAACCCCTCCGGACAAGGTTTGGATTGGCAATTCTTTTCGTCCGAGCCATCTCGGCACTCCCTTGTTCCATTGCAAAAGGCTTCGTTGCGCACACATCGCCCTCCATCGCAGCGGAAGTAGCCCTTCCTTGCAAACTCTTCGCCTCCGTCCCGAGCGGAGCAGAGACGGTTTTTGCAATACCACCCAGCCTCGTCACTTCCATCTTTGCAGTCCGGGATGCCATCGCAGAACTTGTAAACAGGGTATTCAAACAAGATATCTGTCCCGGTCCACAAGCATTCAACCCCGTTCGGGCATTTCATAGCGCCCACCTCGTACGCAGTGCAGTTGAAAGACTTGCAGTAGTTCTTTTTCTCATCGCTTCCGTCTGGCAGAACACACACACACACACACACACACACACACACACACACACACACACGCACGCACGCACGCACGCACGCATGCACGCACGCACGCACGCACGCACGCACGCACGCACGCACACTCACACACACACACACACGCACACACACACACACACATTGCATAGTTGGTGTGAGTGAGGGTTTCTTGATGTGGTCAGTACTTACCCAATGGCATTCACTAAAATCCATCCTGGGGAGATATCAAGGTTCGACCTATGGATGACTTAATTTAGCGGAAGTCCAAAAAGAGCAGTCTGTCACACTCAGCCTTTGTTGGGTGAACTTGTGTTTAGCCAAATTAATGTGCAACACACACCTGCGAATGCAAATCTGGAGCATCTGGAGATCACACAACTGCAAATCTGTCCGCAAAGAGCAAGGCATCAGCACCCGTCACAACAAGAAATTTTGAGGTTGAATAAGGAGAACAAAAGGCTCTGTGTGGACAAGGAGGAACAGCAGCAGGCAGACAGCCACAGGAGCAGCAGATGACGAAGAAGAAGAGGAGAAAGAAGAGGAGAAAGAAGAGGAGAAAGAAGAGGAGAAAGAAGAGGCGGAAGAAAAGCTTGAAAAACAAGAAGCAGCAAGGACAAAGCAGATCAAGAAGAAGATGTAAGGTGAACTGGACGATTCAGAAGACACGCTGCCAAAAATAGTTCAACCTGGAGAAGTCTTCATACCAGACCAGGCCCTTGCAAAGGCAGCAGGAAATGAGACTCACCAGATGGTGGGATAGATTGCATAAGAATGATGATGAAATGCAACATCGAGGGAGCACAATGATCCGTGAGATCAACAGACTGTGACATCTTAGTGATGTGACTTATGTGAGCGATTCTACTGTTTCGTTTCCATCAATGGACTTGAGGACATACCATAGCAGTCGACGACTCCATTGCACAGGTACCATTCAAATGGATGGTAAAGATCGCGAGGGTCATAATCTGGCGGTGCTGACCATGTTTGTTGGGACATTTTCCTCGGCGAGGCCCGCAGTCGAACTCCACACAGTGATCTCCTTCATCTGAGCCATCGTCGCCTGCAAATGACGGACAATCCAAAGACCCGTAAAGCTGCAGTTCAGGAGATGATGCAGTTCAGACAAAGCAATTTCGAACCACCGCAACATGGAGGAGGAGGCAAGTGGGACATCGAAGAGTAAAAGAACTCATGGACTATAAAAATGTGCAGTGAGTGAAGAGGTAGATTTTGCCGTACTTCACCAAATTATGTCCATTGCTATGTATTCCTCGTTGATTTTGCCGTACTTCACCAAATTATGTCCATTGCTATGTATCACCCGCGGTCATGACCGCGGGCTTTTTGGCCGCTTGCGGGCATGATCATGCCCGCGGTGGCCAACCGCTGAGGTCAAGTGCGGTCGGAAAACCCCAAAATTTTTAATAGGCAAAAAAAAAAAAAAAAAAAAGCGGTGGGGAGGGGGGGGCTGTAGGGTTTCCAAAACCCTACATCCCCATATTTTTTGTTTTTTGTTTTGATGTTCTTTGTTATTTAAAAAAAAATAGAAAACAAAAAAACAAGTATTAAAATTTAAAATCAAAAGAAACATAATTAAAAAAAAAGGAACTTTTTTTTCTCATTTTTTTCTGATTTCTGGTGGGATAATCATGGTGCTCATGTTTCTTTGATTCTTTTTTTTTACCTACATATGCCAATATGAAAGGAACAAAAAAAAAAAAAGAATAATGAAAAAAAAAATCAAAGTCATTTTCTTTTCTTTTTCCTTTTTTTTCTGTTTTTGCTAGACACACTGATTGATTGATTGATTGATTGATTGATTGATTGATTGATTGACTCTGATTAGTTGATTGATTGATTGATTGATTGATTGTGTGTGTGTGTGTGTGTGTGTGTGTGTGTGTGTGTGTGTGTGTGTGTGTGTGTGTGTGTGTGTGTTTTGAGTGTGTGCACGTTACGCACGCCATACCACGCTATGACTGCGGATGGTTGAGCTCCGGCACTAGCTTGGCCGGCACACTACGGAATCCTAGCAAGGATGGTGAAGTCTGACAACAATGGAACGAGCTATGCGGTGCCACTGGAGCCGAGGCGCTTTGGAGTGCGTTAAAGCCGTGCAAATGGAGCGGTTACCATACAGTGCGAATGGCATATAGGCTGGAGGGCAAGGGGGAGGTGGGAGGGCAGACAATACATAAGCACAGAGGACAAGGAAGTACGAATGCTGGAGGAGACGGGGGAGGCAGAAAGACAAACGACATACAAACACACCCAACAGAAAGACAAAAAAAACACAAGTCCCAAGAGAGTCGAAGGACCGAAAAAAATAAAAAAAATAAAAGGCTGGTGATGAAAGATTGTTTCGTCGGAGTTGCACCGATTCATCAGGAGGCTGAACCCTCGACAGTCTGCGGAATCTCCGTATTTGATGGTTTGGGTCATGAACCCTTTGACCCTTGTTGAAGGCAGACTGTCCAAAAGGGAACACAGCAGCGAGCAGCAACCCTGTGAAGCACCAGGCAACACAGTAGAGGCAACAAGGCTGCACAACGCCAAAAGTGACTGCAAGGAATGCAGTGCGGCAGCCGTGCAGTGAAGTACAAGACAACACAAGCAAGGCAACGACGCTGCAGGGAATGACAGGGCGAGCGGACCAGCAGCTCGGCAACCGTGGAGCGGAGCACAAGGCACCGGCAACAAGGCAACCCAACTACATGGCACACACGCAGCAAACACGGAAGGCACGACCAGCGGATGA